ATGTGAGATGGCATTATAGCACCAAAAGTACCTGCATGCATCATCCTGTGAGAAAAACCTTATAAAGTTGTTACTAGTCACTGTTAATGATGATGGAATAATGTTTTAGCATACAGGTATTTCTGTGCTTAGGTGTTAAGTTTGGCCAAACAAATGGACCTGCATGCTTTGAAGAAAAAATATGCTGTGAACATAGAGCATCACGATCACCTTTTTCTTTTCGAGGACTATAGTATATAGTAACCTTTTTCTCATCTGTTGCTTTGCTTTTGGAGATCTGTGGTAGTGTGGTATATGCCAGATTTGTCTACAAGCAAAATTTTGAGTTATGATTATGACATAACTGCCATACTTGCCAGTGAGCATTTGTACTTCGATAGATTTTATGTGGATCAAAATCGCATTTGAGAATTCTGTGTGAGTTGTCTGGTCAGTAGGTATCATTTATTTATCTTTATGGATCTAGTGATCTACATTATCATTGATTCATTATACATTGATCAAGATAAGAATCGAAATGCTAGGTCATCTACATTAGTTCATTACTAAAGCTTAAGCAACTTCCCTTTGGCAGCATTGGATGAGGTACATCAAATCAATTGTTCATCTGTCTCACAGTTGCCATGTTCTCAAATTATATGATGGTGCTATGCCATTCTTTCTATTTAATTTTGATGTGGTTAAATTTTCCTCTTATTATATATTTTAAAGGTGGTAAGAATGGGATTGGAGGACGATGTCTATGTTGGGACTTCTGTAGTTGATATGTACAGCAAGTGTGGAAAAGTTGAAATGGCGTGGAAAGCCTTTCAAAAAATTAAGGGAAAGAATATCCTTTCATGGACTGCCATGATTGCTGGCTATGGCATGCATGGATATGGCCAAGAAGCCCTTCATGTTTTCACTGACATGAGGAAGTCAGGGCTAAAGCCAAACTACATAACCTTTATCTCAGTTTTAGCTGCTTGCAGTCATGCTGGTCTTTTGAATGAGGGCCGTTATTGGTTCAACACCATGAAAACTGAGTTTGGAATTGAACCTGGTGTCGAGCTCTATGGATGCATGGTGGATCTTCTTGGCCGTGCTGGTTGTCTTGATGAAGCTTATGACCTTATTAAAGAAATGAAAGCCAAACCTGATGCTGCTTTGTGGGGAGCTCTTCTTAGTGCATGCCGAATCTACAAAAACGTTGAGTTGGCGAAAATTTCTGCAGAAAGATTGTTTGAGTTGGATGCAACTAACTCTGGGTATTATGTTCTCTTGTCAAATATATATGCAGAAGCTGGAAGGTGGAAAGATGTGGAAAGAATGAGAGTTCTGGTTAAAACCAGAGGAATAGAAAAGCCTCCAGGGTATAGCTCGGTTGAGTTGAAAGGTAAAACCCATTTGTTTTATGTTGGGGACAAGAGTCATCCACAGTACAAGGAAATCTATGCTTATTTGGAGAAACTGCTTGAGAGAATTCAAGAAGCAGGCTATGTACCAAACACAGGTTCTGCTCTTCATGATTTGGATGTAGAAGAGAGAGAATCCATGTTGCGCATCCATAGTGAAAAGCTTGCTGTTGCGTTTGCCCTGATGAACTCTGTACAAGGGTCAGTAATCCATGTCATAAAGAATCTCCGGGTCTGCACTGATTGCCATGCAGCAATAAAGATTATTACAAAGCTTACTGGACGAGAGATTATTGTTAGAGACATAAAGCGCTTTCATCATTTCAAGGATGGGTTATGCTCATGTGGGGATTATTGGTGACATTATGCAAAGAAGCTTAGTTTGTGATGCCATATTGGTAGGCATCAGAATAACACATTATTAAGATAACTGTTTATGATACTCTCAGTGCATCTGTCCAGGACACAGAGGCCAATACATCAGTGATATAATTTATAACTTTTCATCCTGATTAGGATAAAATGGTCTGAACTGCATAGCTGGCTGACACAGTTAGTCAACTTATCTGTGGTGAAGATGAAGGACATTGGGGCTTTCAATAGTCCTGCGTAATACACTTGCACTTTCATGCGCAAGACATGGATTTTCGTCATGATATGAAGGGCTTGTAACATAATGGCTCAGCCTTGACCATTTGTGAAGGCCAGGAGCACAAAGTCATTTTGGAGTACATGAATTCTGCCAGGATTAGTTTTTAATATTTACATGTGATGAGAAACACTGCTGGACACTTCAGAAGCATGAATTTGTCAATCCCAGAAATGTGCCCCAGAGAGGAAATTGAGACATGATCATTTCTTAATATCAACTCTGTTCCATAACATTATAGAAGGTTTGTATGTTATTCTCATTTAAATGTACAACAATTAGTAAACAAAATGTGAAACTGTGATACTTAAAATACCATTTGGAGAAAAGGACTCAAACTGAAATACCATTTCAGCCCTGAAAACCATTTAGTCAAACTGAGTTCAGGTTTTTAGAGATGAGGTTCATTTATTACTATATATATTATATATTTATATAATATATATATATATATATATATAAGTTCGTAAATTAGTCAATAACCTAGCTGTTCATAAAAAAATAGAAAACACTAAGTTGTGACTTATCGGATGATTTTAGCAGCCTCCCAGAACCCGGATATGGTAATTACAATACAAGTGGATATAAATAATACAAGTGGCAACACAGTGGGTGGGGTGGATCGCGGCCAGCCTCTAGGGCCCAGGCCCTTAGTGGCCATCAACACCACATACCCCATGTAGTCGCTCAATAATGGGCATGGTGTCAAGTGAGCAAGGACGGGAGGCGAGAGGTCGCCACTTCGGCGCCACCTAGCCGGATAGGCAGCTGCGCCTCACGCCAGTGGCGCACCAAGCCCTCCCGCCGCGCGCAGCCGGCGCCCATCCCATGTAGTGAACACCAATGAGCAAGGGTCTTCACATCTTAGCCGGCGGCCCCGCCTCCAACAGTGCAGCTCGCCCCTTTGGCCGGTGCGAAGGGTAAGGAAGCTAGTCGAACCAACTAGGATCCGTTTATGTGGTTGTTGTTGTTGTTGTTGTTGTAGTTGTAGTATGCGCTATCCAAGCTATCAACTAACTGGATAGTGGTTTTGTGGAAAGTGAGTGCTTATACATCCTTTTAAAGTGGATTGCATAGTTGTTGTCACAATAAGGACAGTAGAATATAGCTAATCACATTGTGTGCAATTTGACAAAGAAACAAAGCTGTCTTCGATGGTCTTACATAACTGTATGTGCTATCCCTAGCTTCTTTTTTTTTTTCTGAAGCCACAATCCCATTGCTTAGCCCATGCCCTGTCAAACATGGCATGCCTGGAGGCGACAGGGATGTGCACACGAGGTGAACAGATCTGCTGTATGGCGCACATGAAGGGCATGAATTCAACGTGGTTTCTCCCATTTACCAAATCAGCTGTCAACACCATTGTTCCTCCCTTCTCAAATTATCTGACAGAAGTAATCCAGCAAAGAAGACAAGGGGTATAGCACAGTCACTGGTATAGCACAAACGGAGAGAGCAAGAGTGAGAACCAGCCACAGGTCAGTAGTACATGCTTGTGTTCAAGTGTTTGTCTTGGTGATTTTGGTTGGAAAAATAGGGAGGGGAGAAGGGTTTGATTTTGTGTTGTAGGGTTTTAATTTTTTCAGTTGCAAGGCTCCAAGTTGAATTGTTAGAAGTTTGTACTGAGTTTCCTATATCTGTTGAATTGGTAAGTGTATGTGGTAATTAATTAGGGTTTGCTTTGCTCTGAAGACCAATGCATTCAAGCTTCTGGTGACAAAGGGAATGGTGGTTTCCTTTGGTTCTACACTGGCAAGAGGATGATTCTTTGGCCCGCGCATGAGGTATATTTGTGTAAATGAATGGCTGAGTCTTGCTGTGCATTGGTTGTGTGTATGCTTATACATTATTTTGCTCATTGTAGGAGTGAAACTGGTGCGCATCTGTCCAATGTTTCAGCGCAGAGCGGTTGGTAAAGTAGCTTGCATGTATGAAGGTGAAGGATGCCTATGAATGTTCGAGGAAGAGTGCTGAGTTGGAGAAGGATTGGGTTACGCCAAGTGCAAAGAAGCTCCACGCTCCACGGTGAAAAGAGGAAATGGGATGCAGCAGAGAAAAAGAATACTTTAAGCATGTCCAGAAAGGACGGTTTTCTGCAGCAAAAGTGGAGGATGGTTGTGGTATACTCGTATGGCGCCTGTGAGGTTGCTGGTGCTTCTCTGAGTATCTGTTGCTGCTGGCAAGCGCTGAGTACCTGTTGGACCACTCCAGGACACTCTGAACTCTGTAACGATGGAGGTGTACGTTTTTGACAGCATATCTGAGCTTGGGATATGTTTATTTTGTATCTACACCTGCGATGTGCTTAGCCACTATTAACGGCAATGTGGCGCTTTAACTTTTTGTGTTGGAGTGGTAAAGCCTGAAACGCTGTACAGTTTTACATGGTTCTAATGTGTGCATATATGCATATGTTTCTCTGAATATCAGCTGCGATTTATGCGTACGAGTCCAACCATGCAAACAAAGCAACATCTGAAAATACAAATATATAAGAGAGAGAAAAAGTTTAAACTATGAGAGAAACATGTATTTAGACAACTTTTTTTTTTTGTAGAGTTATCCATGTAGTATATTTAAGGGTGGCATTGCATGCAAATCCCTTGGGCACACTTAGTCAAATAAAGTATTGGTGATTAGTCTGGCAATGAAGTTCTTGTTTCAGTTCCCCTGCTGCTCATGCTTCTGCTACATCAAGAAAAAGAAGAGCAAACCCAAGGAAGAGGGAAAGCAGGCTTGATGTGCTCTGCTGCTACATCCTTTTCACTTCAGATTTGGACCAGGGTTTCCATTTGCAAGTATGTCCAAAGGTGTATGATCATCTGTGCAAAATTGTACTGTCTGAACTTCATGTGTCTGAAGTGAATGCACATTCTATCATCAGAGATAATGTCACTCTGTCGAATGATGTAAGGTGTTAAACTGTCTTCCATATCATAAAAGCCAGTCACTGATTAGTTTATTTTGTCTTTATCTGTGGCTTCTGTTTTGTGGATGCCCATCTCCTTCATCTGTTGTTCAACAGGCACGAGCCCAACTTCAGCCAGAAACCTACAATACAGAAATGGCACTTCAATTAATCATCCACCAAACAAGAGTAAAGGTGTTTTTTTGAAAGATCAAGAGTAAAGGTGTTCACAGGGAGGATATAAACGGGTAGATAGACTGACCTGTTAAGCAGCACAAATAGCACGGTTCCAATAGTTACAAGCAGAAGAACATGCGCAACAATTACAAAGTTTTTCGACGAAAATGCTAGCGCAAGCATCGCCGTAAAACACAAGGCCAGGAGCAAAAACGTAATCTTGAGCACAAACCACGTGGGAGCCTACACAGCAAAAGTAGCATCAATTAAGCTTTCTCATCAACATGTGTAATGCCAAAACCATGCAAACAGAGGCAAGACTAACGTTGAATATGAGACTCAGTATATCATATACAACCAAACACACTACATTGCACAGACATGACTAAAGTTGAATTGACATCGAATACACTAAATATGGAATATGTTGCACGAATTATGCCATCAAAAGGAATGTCCTTACATTAACACCAGACGACAATGCTCCCACCAATACAGCTTCGACATGACTAAAGTTGAATTGACATCGAATACACTAAATATGGAATATGTTGCACGAATTATGCCATCAAAAGGAATGTCCTTACATTAACACCAGACGACAATGCTCCCACCAATACAGCTTCGGCATATGATGCTTCATTTGAGCGGCACCCTTCCATTCTGTGTCCAACACTATTATTACTAGCAGAAATTGGTAACAAAATCAGGTAGTATGCTCCATGCCGAACCATCATCATTATAATTCATAACGTTTAGTATAGCAGAGAAAAAGGGGTTATCATAGGCTATGCAATATTTTCGCATGCAACAGTTGGCAATTGAATGGCTGTTTGGTAATTGACCGAAGTAACAATCAGTTGAACTTTTAGAATGCAAGTATGCAACAAAGTTGGATTATATCTCAACTTTCAGTTGTACTTTTGACGTAGCAAACTTGCACAAGCACTCGCACGCGGCCAGCAAAATACAACGCTTTACCGGATGAAGATTGCTTAATTCAGTATAGGACACGGGCGTACAAATGTAGAACCGACAATTTTTGAATAAAAAAACACTCGAAGCTAGCGGAATCATGTATGTATGCATATGCAGGTCAGATCCGGGGCAGAACAGCTTATCATGTATGTATGCATATATGCAGGTCAGATCCGGGGCAGAATAGCTTATATTAGGGTTTTGGGGACGCTCGGTTTCGCACAGCAGGAAGGAAAGAGAAGATGGCGTGCATACCTGGTGAGGGCTCGTCGAGAAGATGGCGTGCATAGCGACTGGTGAGGACTTTTCCTGTGTGCCGTTATAAAACGTCGCCGGCGAAGACCTGTTTGGCGAAGGGCCGCGGCGGTGTGGTCGCACTTCAAATGAAGTCGTAAAATTAGCAAAAAATATGATTTGATATGATTAATATATCTTAGAAAAAATCATCATATTTTTTTGCGGAATTAAATGAAAAAAACGGGAAGAAAGAAAGAGGAGGACGGGGACCGACAGCATCGCACAGCCCAACAATGGCCCAAGGCCCGCCGCATAAAAGTCTGCTCAAGAAAGAAAGAGGAGGACGGGGACCGACAGCATCGCACAGCCCAACAATGGCCCAAGGCCCGCCGCATAAAAAGTCTGCTCCTCGAGACCTCGAGTGCTCCTCTACAGAGCCGGACTGCCGGACCACAAAGAGCCACGGCTACGGCTTACTTTTTGTTTTTCTTAGAGAACAGGAGGGATGACTGATCCCTACTGGAGCTTATATTAATTAAAAATCAGGAAACAAACAAAGGAGTTCAAAGGGAGTACAAAAGGAGAACAGAGCAGGTTCACGAGACAAAGAAGGTGAGGAAGAAAAGAGTAAAATGCATGTCCTTAAACTTTTGGAGCATTCCCAGCTACATCCTTCGACTAAAAAAATTCCCATTCAAATCCTTAGTCTATTATCGTCGCGCACAAAAGTCCAAATCCTGCCACGCCAGCATCGCCATGCCACATAGGCGGCTGGCGCTCGACGCGGTGGGGAAGCAGAGCAGGGGCGCGACGGCGTCGGGGGCGTCTCCAACGAGCGCGACGGTGTAGAGGGGGAGGTCGTCGTCTCCGGCAAACGCCGACACCGCCCAGCCGTTCACGTCCGTGCACTGGGCCGCAGTCTCCTCATTTCCCTTTTCTGCTCCACCACCGACATGCTCGATCCGCCGGTGAAATTCGCCGCTGTCAAGCGGCCCCTGTCCGATTCCTTTCGCAGCTAGAGCTGCCTCGTCCTTGCGCTCCGTTTCGACACAGTCGCGGCAGTCCTCTCGGCCGGAATCGGCCACGCGCGCCATTTCCGCCGCCGTGGTCCACCATGAAGCTCCTCGCCCACGCCTGCAGCTCATGCCGCCGCGGCTCGGACTCGGACCTTGACGCCGTCCTGCTGCCGGATTTGTTCCCGCGCCACGTCCGGGGTAGAGCAGGTGCAGCGCACGCATGCTCGACGGACGCCGCGACGGAGCCGGACATGAGCGCGAGGCACTCCCAGCTGCATCACGACTGCCGGATCAGGCGCGCCGAACCCGAGCCGCCCTCCATGGCCGCAAACTCCCCCTTCGACTGCGTCCTCCTAGGTAAGCGTCGATCACTAGCTCGCAGTCCAGGACGGACTCCAGGGCGATTGCTGCTGTCGATGATTTTATTGTGGCCCGAGCGCTCCGTACAGACCTCGACGACACCCTGTACCCGAGACAACACCGGCATCGTTCCGGCCCTCAAGCACAACATCGACAAGTTCCTCCAGGCCATGCTCGGCGTCTCGGTTGACAAGCGACAAGGCCGCCGCCTTGCGCGTCGAGCTCTTCCGCACGCACGGCAGCTCCCTCGCCGGTCTGCTCTGCTCTCTTTCCTCTCGTCTGCTCTGCTCATCGGCAACAGCCCATTTCATTTCTGACATTGTCGCTTCTCGATCATCTTTCTGGTTTGTGGATTCTGTGTTTGGTTTCGATTCGACAATGACGTGCACCCGGACGAGTACCACATGTCAGTAGGCAAACACGAACCCGAGCCGCGCAGCGCTCGCCGAATTGAGCACGGCGTCGGCAAGCCGCGTCCATGCGGCAGTGCGCGTCGAGCTTGCCCACGGCCACGGTGAGCAGCTTCCACACATGCGCGAACAGCGCCTCGAGCCGCGTGATACAGAATTTGGGAAGCAGCAATAGGAATTGGAGTTTTAGGCCTGGTTTAGATTGTAAATTTTTGCAATCCGGATACTATAGCACGTTTCGTTTGTATTTGACAAACTTTGTTCGATCATGGATTAACTAGGCTCAAAAGATTCGTCTCGTGATTTACAACTAAACTGTGCAATTAATTTTTTTTATCTACATTTAATGCTCCATGCATGTGTCAAAAATTGATGTGATGGAGAGAGAGTGAAAAAACTTGGAATTTTGATGGGATCTAAACAAGGCCTTAGGCAGGAAAGCAAAGCAGCAGGTGGGGACCAGACGAAGCTTGCGCCTATTACGGTCCATTTTAGTTTGCAAAAAATTTTGCAAAATTTTTCATATTCCCCGTCACATCGAATCTTTGGACGAATGCATGAAGCATTAAATATAAATAAAAAATAAAACTAATTACACAGTTTAGACGAAATCCACGAGACGAATCTTTTAAGCCTAATTAGACTATGATTGGACACTATTTACCAAATAACAACGAAAACGCTACAGTACTCGTTTTGCAAAATTTTTTGCATCTAAACAAGCCCTACATATATGTAGGCAGCGCTGAGCTGGTTGATCACGCCGCGATCCAGTCTTCGCCTGTCACACGCTTGCTCTGCGTTCGCGCTCTGGTGGACCTTCTCGGTGGCATCAGCCCAGCCCCAGGAACGATGTCTTGTGTTGCCATTGTCGGACGCCGCGCGGGGAAACGGCTGCTTCAAGAATTCTGGATCCTCCCATGTTGCAAGAGACGTAGGCAAGTTAGACCATTTGATTAAACCTTGAGAAATAGAACGCGTACCCTTTACGCTCAGGGACGCTGCAAAAGCACATCATCAGATGGAGGATGTGCTGCAACCGAATGGTGAGCACCCACCGACTTCTTTTGCTGGGAAACATGAAAGACCGGATGAACAGAAGAGGAAGCCGGGAGCTCCAACCGATAAGCAACAGACCTAACTCGAGCCAGAACACGATATGGGCCGAAGAATTTGAATGACAGCTTCTGATTAGCACGTTGTGCCAAGGAGGACTGGATGTAAGGTTGGATCTTAACATAAACCAAGTCATTAACCAGAAACTGACGCTCTAAACGATGCTCATCAGCATTCTTTTTCATACGCTGTTTGGCTCGATGGAGATGATGACGAATAACATCTGTCATGAGAGCTCTGTCAGATAACCAGGACGCCAAATTTGTAACAGGTATCTGGGCCAGCCGCAATGCCAAACTGTAGTGGTGGGTAGCCATATAAGACTTCAAATGGTGACCGTCCCAGTGTTGAATGCCAATTAGTGTTGTACCATAGTTCAGCTTGGTCCAGGTACCGACGCCATTGCCGTGGACAGGCGTGAGTGAAGCACCTCATAAGTGTCTCAACACATTGGTTGACTCTCTCGGTCTGTGTAATAACCCAAAAATCCACACACAAAAAATCCCTAACTATAAATTTTTTTTTCTTCAAAACCCCATGTGATGATGAGTGACATTGTAGGAGCCAACCCTAGGTATTGCATTAGTTGTAACCCAACTAAACAATTTCATGAGCATGGCATGTCATTTGTTAATTATGTTTATTTAAATACTGAGAAATAAACTATATCATACATTGTTAATTTAAATGGTGATTTGGATTTCCATTTGCATTATGTAATGCTTAACAACTCCTTTAAAGAAATAAACCTTAAAATAATTATTAATCAAACCAAAGAATAAATGATTAAAGAGAAAACTATTTCTATTTTTTGTACAACAAAACTACACCTATTTTTGTTATACAAAATAGCTAAATAAAGTTCCTAATATATATAAAAGAATGTTGTGGGCATCATATCTAAAACTCCAACTGAGTAAGGTACACCAATTTTGAATTCAAATTCCAAACCAAATTTGAATTCAAACAAAGGAGAAGAAAAGAAAAACAGAAAAGGAGAAAAGGGAGGAGCTAGCCTCGCAGCCCAAGCAACCAATCGGCCCAGCCAGCCTTTTTCCACCAGCCGGCCTAGCTCGCCCCCCCGGCTTCATTGGCCCACACGCCATAAGCAAGAACTGGCTTCGATCACGGCCCGGCCCAACTTCATGTGATCGAAGCGACCGCCCAACAAGCCAAGACAATAAGACGCTTGCGCGCATCTACACTTTTCCTTTCTGCTGCCGCTACCACCGGACCCCACGCGTCAAGCCACACCCCGCACAGTGTCGTCTTCCTCCCCATGCCGGCACCGCCTCCGACCAAAATGACAGGCTCAGGCCTAGGGTCACGCAAATCGTCTGGCCCTATCCCCTTGGTGCGCCGTGCCCACGCAACCTCCGCGCCAACCACCCGCGTGCTAGCGATACCGTTCGATGCCAACGGCGCATCGCCAGCCGTCCGCCCCGTCCGCCATAGATGGAGCTCGGACCCCGAGGCTATAAAGCAACGCCCAGAGCCCTACCGCATTCCCATGCCCCGCCGCCACACGGTGACCTCTCCCGAACCACACCAAGCCATGGAGAAGGAACGAGAGAGGAGCAAGGAAGGGAGGATCGGAGCCACCCGCGTGCTGCCGAAGTCGTCGGAGCCGAAGACGACGCCGTCGTCTCCATCACTGTTGCGGGTCAGCACTGCACTGCTTCTGACTACACGGCCACGACCGCCACTGCACTACCATCCTTTCGCCTTCGACACCGACGGTGAGTCCTGCGCTGCTGAGACTCCTCCTAGCCCCTTAGACGCCATAGTAGAGCACGCGCACGCTGCGCTCACGACGCCGCTGTCATGGCGCGGCCACCACTTGCGCACCCGGTTGCCTCGCCGGACTAGGAAGTAGCCGAAGCACCACCGTGATGCCCGGAGGATAGTCGCGTAGACCGAGACCCCGATAGTCGGCCGTAGCACCTTGGCCACGAGCACCAGACCATCGGCCGGAGCTCCGCCGTGCACCACCACCGCGCGCGGACTCCGCCACGCCCTTTGGTCATCGTCGTCACTTTACCCTGTTGCCCGCTAGCCGTTTGAATGGGAACGGGGCACCAGGACCCCTGGAACAGCTCTTAGCTGCCCCGCCGGTGAGCACCGCCATGACCAAGCCGTCGACCACCGTGGCCAACGCCCTGGGAAGCCCTGGCCGCCACCTTGACCCCACTACCGCATTCGCCGAGGCCTGACGAAGCTTTTCCCCACCTCAATTGGGCGCTAGCGCCGCTATGGGAGCTCGTCGGTGAGCTCACCACCGGCGGGGCATCGCTGGGAGAGGAAGCAGGGGAATTCCCCTCGCCGGCCACACGCACATGCACCCGGTGCATGTGGACCACAGAGAGAGAAGAGAAGGGTGGACGCGGTCCACCGTAGACCTGCCTGCGGTCCATGGACCAGCGCTCCTGATTCCACCGTGGACCACGAGCCGTGGACCACGGCCCAGTGGAGGCCCAAGGTCATGACGTGGTTGCGTCACAGCATGCCACGTGGCGGGCTGAGCCCAGCCCAAATCCAGCCCCGTCCAGGCCCACCAAAGCCCAGTCGAGACCCAACCTGGTTGACCGTTGATCGGTCAACATTGACTGTTGACCTGGCCCCACATGTCAGCGGCACAGACACTCTGGACCCACATGTTAGAGAGTGACGTCATGCTGACATCACGCAGGACCCACACGTCAGAAGCCAACACAGCCGGGGTGACATCATGCTGATGTCACGATGACATCAGCTGCTGACGTCAGCAGCCCTGGCCCCACACATTAGTGACCCTAACCATTGACTGTTGACTCACCCATTGACTTGACGTTAACTCTGACCGGACCCACAGGTCAGTGACCCAAGAGACCCTGGCCCCACCTGTCAGAACGGATGACGATGATGACATCATGCTGATGTCAAGCTGACGTCATCAGGACCCCACCTGTCAGCTTAGAATCAAGATGATGACGTCATGCTGATGTCATGCTGACGTCAGCATGCCACATGGACCAGTCATAGCATGACACGTGTCGGCCCATGATTAATTCAACCTTTTCCATTTTCAAAAATGATTAAAACTTTAGAAATTCATAATTAATTCATATGACCTTAGAAAAATATGAAACCAGGACCAAAATTCATCTAAAATCGAGCTCTACACAATGAACCCATGTTTGAGTGCATTTGGCTCTTTTGAATTTTCATTGCTTCTTTGTGCTATTCTATAGACGTCGCTAACACGACTATAATGCGATCGTTTGCAGACTCGGAGGAGAACCGGACGGACGAGGATCATGAGTACCGTGAGGAGTATGGAGATGACTACACTGAAGGTGCCACATCCCACCCAATCTCGTAGCACCTATTACGCATGGCTAAAATAGAAATGCTAGTGCTTTACTTTATTGTTATGATCACACTATGATAGGACTTGCATGGTAGTATGCTTTCTTGATGGCCTTTACCTTGATGCAACCTTACCCCTGCTCACCCTGCTGTTAGGCTAGTCACACGCTTGCTACTATATTTCATTGCTTATTACTTCTACTACGCTTGCACTACATTGATGCGAGGTGGAAACTGGTGTTATCTGGACTATGGGGAGAGTGCTGCGTGTGTGACTTAGGTGCGTGGAGGGTGAGGGTTATGTCGACCAAGTTGGAGTATACGACGAGCCTGGGGCAAGTCTTGCCGTGGGGTGCTACCTGGGCACCCCTGGAATGGATACCTGTGGTGGGTAAATGGTATATGAGGTGGCCCTGGGTGTGAACCTGTGATGGGAGGAGCCCAGG